CTGGTGCTTGTCAAATCCCCCTGTGAGCCCACCTCAATACCCCAGCAGCAAGCTAAGGCTCGTATTTTTATTTTCTGGATTAGTTTTCTGATGGTCTGGTGCATTGAATCAGTTAATGAAAGGGCCAGCTTAGGCCGGAGCCAGCACAAGAGCGGGGTGGGAGCCGCAGCCGGCAGCGGGTGGTGCCTTGCACAAAGGAGAAGGGGGAAAGAGGGGCCGTGGGGTCCCACACTCTGAGCAGGAGTGACCTGCTGGGGGTGGCACAGACCTCGAGGTATTTACATCTCTGCCCAGCACTGCGCTGTGCCTCCTGCAAATCCCTTGTGGGAAGTTGTGCGCTGCTGGAGTTGCATTGAATTTCTTACGTCAATTTTAGAATACAGCCAGCAACCTTTCCCAGCTACTCTCTGCTTGCTGAGCATCCTCTCCTGGTTTGTTTTCTCACTTCGGAAAGGCATCCATGCCCACCTTTTCCCTCAATCAGGTGATGGCCCTGGGTCCTGAAAGCTTTCCAACTTCCCTGGTTTTGTGTGTCTGTCGCTCTCACAGAGCGGCTCCTGACGCGGGGGTAGGAGGTGCCTGACACGGGTAGGAATTCGCCTGAGTGGGAAACAGATGTCCTGACCCAGGAGTTATTCATGTCCTTTTAAAACTCCCATGTATGAAGCTTTTATCTCTCCTTAGCTGAGCGGGAAAGCAAACTTCCCAAACCTCTCCCCAGCCTCCCTTTGAGGCTGCCTGGCAGGCGGGCACCGCATGGGTGCTCAGCCTCGCAGGTAGTTTTCATCCAGGAAGCGCCCCAATTTGCGCTATTCACAACCCCCAGGGTACTATTCTGTTTCCAGGCTCCTAATCCCTCTTACACACACAATCCCTTACAACTTTAACTGGCGGGGTGGAGGAGCAAGTTAAAAAGGAAGGAAAAAGGAAAATGAAACACAATGTACAGCCAGGCAGTGGCTGCCAGTTACGGGGCACACAATCGACACCAGCTGCAGCCCAATTAAACCCCACATTCACAGGTGTTCCCAGCACACTCGGCGCTAACAAAACCACTTTCTTGAAAATACCTAAGGCTTTAACACAGAAGCTCGTTTCTCTTTTTTTTCCTCCCCCCCCCCCCCTTTTTTTTTTTTTTTTTAAAGATTCTTTAGAGCTATTTAGAGCACTTTAAATACAAAGGAGCTGAAAAGGACTTTCAGTCCACTGGAAAGAGTTGGTGCTTAATGCCAGAATGGGGGAGAATCGGCCGGGCTGAATCAGCCAATGTAACCATTGGTTTCGGGAGAAAGATGGGTTATGCTGAATGCTGTTTGTTCAGGGAACAGAAACCGGCGCCGGGCATGTTATTGTTGCTGGGAGTGAAATGGGGAAGAAGGGAACGACTAGGTGTAAATCCATATCTTCTGGGGACTCATCATGGTCTGTCTGCACTGTGGCTGTGAGCTTCTGTGTGGCTTCGCTTCTTGCCAATCTCTGTGTGTGTGTGTGTGTGTGTGTGTTCAGGCAGCAAATTTTAATTCTGTTTCCCTCCCAGGATAGCTTGGTACTGTTGTCTTTTTGACTTTGAAGCAGGATTCGAAATTAGTTGTTTATTTTCTGATCTCAAAGCATCACACTACGGATGATAAAATCAGTCCTTTAAAAAAATAATATACTGTTTTTCCTACATGAATTCAAAATTATTCCCACGCTAGCAGATGTCTGCAGACAGCAGATGAATGCGTAGGTCAGTAATTTGCTCTCAGTTCATTGAAAATGCGAATTCTATTTGTTAATCTTTCATTTATAATTATAATAATGATCAAATTAGGGGATATTGTGGTACTCACTGATTTCAGTAGCGCTCAACCCTGCCTGGCGGGCTCTTCATTGCTGCAGTAGCACCCACAGTGTAGTTACAGCTTAATTACCTGGTGCCTGGTCTGGTGCTGTTTAATCACTGTTGTTTCTGACAATCACTTAATGTCTTCATTTCTACCTTAGTAGTGGGTGCTGAAAGCCACTCTGTACTCAGATACAGTCATAATACCTATTTTGTCCTTCCATACAGCGGGCTGCAGTTTTGCCTTTGGAACAGGACTAGGACATTACTCCTATTCCTCACAACACACAGAGATCCAAAAGACTGTGCTTTTATTTGTCTTTTCTTTTTTTCCTTGTGTGTCTGAAAAGGTAAAAATGGTGATCTCTTGTATTTGCGTTTGAAATTCATTAAGAATTACCTTGCAGATAGGTAATGCTGGCTCTCAGCATTCATTTACAGAGGCAGGCAGAGGCTGTTCAACCTAAATCCCTAAACGTGGATGGGAGGAAGGATGGGTAAGTTGTGCAGCAGCAAGGACCAGATAGATCACTGAGGACTCTTCAGCTTGCAAAGATTTGACTGAGGGCATGAGGTAAAACTCTGTAAAATCGTTGATAGTATAGGGCAACTAAACAGGGAAGAACGGATGAGTCACCATTCTCATAACACAGGGATTATGAGGCACTTGCTGAAATTATGAGGTTTAATACAAACAAAAGTGCTTTTTTGTACAAGGCGTGATTAGACAGTGACATTTAATACAGGATGATGTTGTGGAGGCCAAAAGGAGAAATGATTTAAGAAAGTCATTGGACAAACTCAATGGGGGTAGGCCTGTTGCAAGGCTTTAAAACTGATGATCTGGATGTAACCTCTGGATTTGGAGTGGTGCTAGGCCTGGGAATGATCCATACCTTGCTGCAAAGCTGCAGGTCTTCTTCCTTTGCTATCAGTCAGCCCTTTCTGCTGCCTTCCCTCTTTGCCTCACTTGACCCGATCTATAGAAATAACATTTAAAAACCCTTCAGTTGCTCCACCTGGTAAGAAATGCCCTAATGTGACTGTGACAAGAAATATCCATGAAAAACCAGTGACCTTAGGCCAATAATATGGCAGATTTCACCAGATGAATTCACTCTCATGTCACTGTGGCTACACCACTACTTGTGTTTGCTTTCCACGAGTGATTTAGCTTTACCAGCTAGCAAGAATGCTTGTGAGGAGGGTTGTTTTTTTTTTTTAAAGTTTGCATACTTGTGCAAAGAAAAATAATCAAACTTGCCTTGTTGAATCTCTTACCTCAGAAACCTGATCCTCTGAGTTAGCCAAGGAATGGAAACAACACCATGTGATTCTGTGACCAGACACGAGGGCCCAAATTTTCAACACTGTACCATAATGCCTGCTGTTTATTGCTCAACCACATATAAAAGATTTAGTCCACAAAAATTCTGAGCGCAGCCAGGAAAAGAGAGAACAGTAATTAATGCTTTAAAATTCTTTCGTTGTCCCTTTAAAAACAGCTGAAATGCTTTTGAGAAGCCAAAAATAATCAGTTTTCTGCTGCTTCCTCACATTTAGTGGTTTTCAGTTATCACAGAACTTATGGTTCGGTCTTTGAGAATAAAATTAAAACCAAAAAAAAATCCTTTGGAGGTTAATTATCATCACAGTTGCCAACAGTGTTGTCAGAGCATAGAGAAAATATGAGAGCATCATCAGAACTGTGATCTTACGGGCAACTTCCTCCTGGGTGTTTCAGTGTACAAATGAAATGGGAAGAAATAAGACTGACAGTGGTGTTTTTGGATCTGCCAACTTGGCAGTGTTTCCTTCAGCTTCTCCTTCAGTAAGACACAGCAGCTCCTTGCAAGAGATCTTCTTGTCAGTGACACCCGACCGCATTGTTTTGATGCTGTGGATGGCTGATGGTCTCAGAGAGAAGAACAGGCTGGTCAAAACCTGCTGTACTGCATTTGGTGTGGGGTTTTTTTAATAAAGGTCTCTTCATTTTGTAGGAAGGGTTGGGTTTTTTTCTTCAAGTAGCTTAACATTCGTGTTAGAGATGGGGACACAGTCACCTTGTCTGCTTGGGGAAAAGCCTGCACCGAAAGACCAAGGTCCCTCCGTTAACTATCCGGATGATGTATTCCTTATCTCCACGAGAAGCTGGTGCACTAAATCTCGGTGCTACTCTTCCATGTTAGGCTGTCTCTGAAGCCCTGAAAAGCATTAAAATGCGTAACAGCAGTGTTTAGCTTCGCTGCTCATTAGAACAGCACAGAACTAATAGTAATATTGTTGTAACTTGACAAAGCCATCTAAATCCATGCATGTTTTCTTGTGAAAGCTTCCTAAACATGCTGCTAAATCCCCTAAAAAGCTACTAAAGGGCTTTGGCAACCATTAGCAGAGCATAAGCGGGGAACTCCTTTCAGTAAGTGAACAAACAGAGAAAATATGCTGAATAGCCGGACAAATGTGTTTCAGCTGGCTCTTTCATTTACAGATATAAGGCAGCAGTCAATATCAATCACTGTTTTCCCTGTTGCACTGGAAATCACAATATCTCTTTTCATTCCACAAGCTCCTTTCACCACAGTAATGTGTCTTTGGAGTGACACTGGCATCAGTCTGTTTCCGCTGTCTGAAGTCCAGAGAGCTTAAAAACACATTGCAGGGTATGAGACCTTAACCCTCCTCCCTTTCCACACACCCGTCTCCTTCGAGCCTTCCTTTTGGAATTAATTGTTTTTACTTCTTTCCCAGTGCAAAGCTGAGAAAGAGAAGTGCCCAGGGAGCCTGGGAATATCTGCTCTTGCACTTTGGGGACCGAAAAACGTGTGGCTGGTGGTTGGGGTTTGAATTTATCAGGTGTTGTGGGGAGTTTAGCACAAGGCAATACGATTAGCGAGTTAATTTGCAACATGCTGTTATATGAAATGTAATGTTACTGCGGTTTGAGTTTCGAGCTATATCCTGTTTCTTGGATGTCCTAATCGCCCGCAACCTCATTTATTAAATAAATTAACAAAAAAAAAAAAAAAAGTTGGAAAAGCTCTGCTTGTGAGTACCTGGCATTTGGAGTGTGTTGATGATTTTGTGTTTGCTTTCTTCCTTTCGAGTAATATATTTTATAATAATTATAATAATAACCCTCTGTGGTTGTGTTTTCTTTATTGTTTCTTTGCAGATAACAGCAGTCTGTAGAGAAGCAGCCCTTCTGGCTCTCCAGGAGGACATCCATGCCCAATCCATCACGGGACGGCACTTTCGGTGCGCGCTGAGTGTCGTGACCCCGAGGATTCCCGACTCGTTAATCCAGTTCTATGCAGATTATCAGCAGCAGAGTGGACTGCACACACTTTGAAAGGCAAATGTAATACACACCCTGTTCACAGGGCGAATAGCAAATTTCCTTTGTAAAGCTGTCAGAAGCCAAAGAATTTTGTATTGAGAGGGAGTGGAGTATCCAAAGTTAATTAAACGCAGAATTACTGTAATAAATGTCCACGTGGAAGTTTTGAGTGTAATGGATATTGTCCTAAACTTTATATTTTACCATTTCAGCGGTATAAACTGCGTTTTACGGGTAGTAAGATTGCTGATTTAAGTTAGTTTATCTCAGTGTATATCCATTTTTTTAAAAAAATTATCAAATTCTGAAATTTTGGTGGCTTCTGGGCCCTAAAGAGAGAACCAACAAGTGCCATTACTGTCTTCATTTGTTGCTGCCTCAGCCACAGTTTAGTCCCAGGGACCATCCCAGTGAGGCAGAGACCCGGGGAGTGGCCTCTCTATAAAAAATGCTGAAAATTATTGTGAATCTTTTGATTTATGATCTCCAGCAAAGCTGCCAAACAGGCTTTCCGAGATAAAGCTGAAGTATCCTGATTGATTACAGCCAAACATTTATCTTTGGTCTTAACCAACTCCTGTTCAGACCTACTGGCAAGAAGGCACCTTAAAAACTGTCCATCCCTTGACTAACCTGAGCCCACAATGAAAGATTTTTGTTGCTGATGTTTGTTTCCATCAAAATAAATAGGCATGTTGATTGGTTAAATTTAAAGCTGGCCACTTTAATGAATCCTAATTAATGAATAAGAAAACCTCCGTGCAAAAAACTGTTATAAATGACCACAAAATACTCGGGGGATGGATAAAATCTTTTTGAATTATATCTTTGTCTGTTGAAATGGTGACAGGTCCTTGTGGGCTCTCTGCTCTTGCACTTGGGATGAAATGCAGTTGAGCAAACTAATATCCTTTTTTTTTTCCCCACAACAGAAAGACTGAGCTTTTCCATTCCAGGCATAAAAAGTAGAGGGAAAGGTAAACCAAAACCAATCCAAACCTTAAAAAAAATAATAATAATTAAAAAAAAGGAGACAAGAACCTAAAATTCAGTGGGTAACTCTGTATTTTCCTGGTATTTTGCAGGTAAGTAGAAGAATTTACAGGTCAGAATTTTATTCAAGTCCTCCTTTTATTTGTTGAAGTAAACGAGATATGACATTTTGGGCTTTAGGTAAGGTTATTTTTTGGATTTGTTCATTGATGGTTCTGAAGACTTTTCTTTCCTGCAGCCATTCTATATGTAAACCTGAGAGAGTAGTAATTGTTTAGAAATTTATATCATTTTATGAGGAATTTGTATATCCAGAGATATTTCTACTATATTTACTTATCAGTATGAAATGTAAAGAGTAATTTCTTCACCTTGATTTTGGCTTTTCCCCTCCTTACTTAGTTCCACACCATACACAATCTGTGGCTTTTAAGCAGAAATCTGATATTTTTACATGACCACTTTTCTATTACTTTTGTGCTAACCTACTGTTTCTGTAATTAGCATTTAATTTTACTAACACTGACAAGGATTAAGGGATGAGGAAAAGCAGGCCATTTACTTAGTTCAGCTGATCTATGTGCAGGTTTTTTTCTTTTTTTTCATTGTTAGTCTCTTTAATAGTCCAAAGGCAGAGGGAGTTAAGAAAATTATAAAGTGGAAAAGTTTGCCTTGGAGATCAAGACTGCAAATGAAGCTACTTTAGTCTTCTTTTCTAAATTCTCTGTGCTCCAGCTTGGAGTTCAGGATGTGAACCATTTATCACAACCATTACATTTCTGATGTTTCCAAAAATTCAATGCCATACCTTTATCCCCTGGCACTTTACTCCAGTGTCTGTTCCTGAAGGGAGGAAAGAGAGACTGCAGTTTTTAGCTGCCAATAGTGAATTCTGTTTGTAATTTTGTAGCCTAAAAATAACACTCTGTGATGCTCTATATGAGGAGCAAAACGAGATGACCATTCCTTGGGAAGCGCTCAGATTTATTGGGAACATGCACCAAGGCGTGAATGTGAACTGAGAAGCTGCAAGGGAGGCGGGTGGGAGCTGGCTGCCCTTTCCATTTCTGGACTCCTGCTGCCATCAGAGGGAATTTTGCACACTGAATTTTAGGACGTTTAGGACGGAATGCTGGCCCACATCTGTTGTTTGTGCCTTGGGAGAAAAAACCCATCCCTGCAAATATTTATCCTCTCACCCTCATGGTGCCACATTTATGGTCGAAATGACACCTGCCTGCCTGAAGTGATTTTGGATGCAGGAAGATCACCTTTTTATCCTTGAGTTTGTGGAATTTGATTTTTTTTTTTTTTTTTTGAGTAAGGTATTCTTTAAAAAAAAAAAAACAGGCGGTGACAAAGTTTTGAAGTCCCTGGGTGTCTGTTGCTCCCAAAAGTTCTGTTCGGAAAACTTTGCCAGTCTGGCGCCTCTCAGGATCTCAGTCCCTCCCAGGCCACTGATAAATTGAGATTTAAAGAAAGGTACGGTGATTCCCCATCTCATTCCTAATGACAGGAAGCTGTTATCATGGACTAAGCAACTTGAAACCCACTCATCAGAATTCCACAAAAATAACCAAAAATTCATTTTTGGTCAAAACACACCATCACTGTAGTCCTTTCATAATCCAGTTTGGCGAGAGCTTTTTCACCCTGAGCCTCTCATTGGAACTTACTGATGAGGGCACTGTAGGACAGAGCACTCCAGAGGCATCTCCTGTTGGCCTGTCATTTGAACAAGTGGGTTTTAGCTCAGAGCTGAACTTTTCACAGCGTGTTTCACTGAACACATCGTGCCTTGGCTCTGAGTCAAACCTCTTGCAGTGTGAGGCCGTGTAAGCCCGAACACCTCTGTGCTGCAGAGTGAATCAAAGAGAGAGGGGATCTCTCTCTGCTGCTGGGTTAATCCCTGTTGTTGTTTGGGTGTTTCTATGAGATGTTATTTTAATAAAGTGATCAGGGCTCAGTGAACAGAAGAGAAGGCGTCTGAGAAGAACATCTATCTTTCTCCCATCCTCTTTTTAACTGAGACTTACTTCCTAGACTTCTTTACGTTCTTTAGAAACAGAGTCTTTTTGCTGCCTGCTATTTTCTTTTGCAGCCGGTTTTTGGCCCAAATCCTGCCTGAGTTGCAGAATTGTTACCTTTAAATCCAGCTTTCCAATGTTTCAGGCACATTTTGTTTAAACACAGAACCTACCCTTTTCCTCCAATGACAGCGTCTTGCAAAATGGCATCAAATGTTTTTTGACAGGTTTGCCAGAAATGACCAGGAGAATATTTATGATCAAAATGCAAAAATGTCTTCCCTTAAAAAAAAAAAAAAATTTAAAAATCAGTCCTGTGTTCTCCTTAATGCATAAAACAGATTTTCACTGCACATACGGTATACAATTCTTAATCCTGGAAAAAGAATGAAGTTTATTGTGGATAGTTTTTCTGCAGTCTCTGAATGAGAGCAGAACAAACAGTTTACTCAGCTCAGGTGCGAGGGAAAAAAACATCAGGGACAGAATAAAGATCGTTTTCAGTGGTGGTTATTCAAAATCATTGAATTTAGACTTGTCAGCCCTTTCAAACATTATGTCCTTAAAGTAGAATTTTTTTGTGTGGTTTGTGTGTGCTGGCTCTCTTCCTTTTAGCTTCTTTACTCATTTTAAATGTCAGAGGGTGGTGATTCCCTTTCGGAAACGGGGCATGTGCCAAACACAATGCTCCTGTAACTGAGCATCCGTCCACTAGTGCTGTGGGAAGGCTGGGGCTGACGTTTCCTGGTGAAGGAGACCTCAAACTCTGCTGATGGGCTGTGGAGAGGCAAAGGCCCCTGGAAGAATTAGTGAAAAGCAGGCATAAAGAACTTGCCTTGCTTCCTGTGATCCCAAAGTTGGGATAAAACTAGATGTGGTCCTCACTCTTCTGAGTTTTGAGATGACTCCTGCTGATGCAGTCAGGGCCACGGGAAGTGGCTTGCTGTAGGAGCACAGCTACTTTTGGCAAATTGGTTTTACATTGTGACCCTTTTGTATTTAATGATGTAGTTGTCGTGAATTGGAATAATTTTTGTCTCCTGTGAACCCCAAAGTCTTTTACTCTTGCTGATGCCTTTTTTTATTTGCTTTGGCATGAAAGAAAACACCGCAGGTGATCTAATGTGTGCAGTTTGATAAGGAGCTTTCCCGAGGGAGTAGGTGCAAGAGGCTTGCAGGATTGCAGTTGTACTTGGGCATGTTTTGCATGGCAGGCTAACATCTGGAAGACACATATTTCAGCTGAAACCTACTCCTAATCTTGGGGTTTGTGTCTGCTCTTTCTGCTACCGGTTCATTCATTAATCTTCTCTGTAGCCACGCGTTTTCACCAGGGCTTTATACGTTGTGCGTTAAGTATTTTAAATGGTGCCATTCTTTCCTGCAGGCTTAAATCCAGCAGCTCGGGAGCCCTGATAGGAGAAGGAGATGTGTGTTTTCTCTGTGGTGAGGGGGAGAGAGCCCCGCTCTGTGTTTGCATGGCAGGCCTCCAGCAAGAGCGCAGGTGTTGCAAGAGGAGGCAATGGCAACCAGATGACATTCCTTCCCCTTGAACTAGTGTGGAGCCAGTGCTCAAATAGATTGTGGGTCCAGCAGTTGGACTGGATGATCTTAGAGGTTCGTTTCCAGCCTAAATGATTCTGTGATTCCTTCCAACAAAATTTCAGGCTAGTGCGTTGTCTGCACGTGCCTGTGTAAAAGCCATGGCAATAGAGCTTGGGTTCATCCAACTTAAAGATGAGGGGAGTGGAATCACTCTTGGCAAGCACTGGAAAGATACTAGAAAATGGTCCAGACAGTGATTTATCCCAGCTGAGGGCTAAACTACCTTTCTGGAGGTGCTGAAGGGGCAGCTGATGTCAAGAGAGACCCTAAGCACTTATCTAGAGAAAGTGCCTTGAGGTAGATGAAAGGAATTGAGAGCAGCAACTCTCAAAATATTGAGAAAAATATTTTATCAACTTGTGCAAATATATCCTGTTTGCATAAATGGTTCTGGAAATGCCATTGGTCTCTTCCTCTCATACCACTGTGTGTGTGTGGGATGGCAGCGTGCTCTTAACCACACACCCCACAATTTTTTTATCTCATTTACCAACACAGAGGAGTTTTCACATCCCTCTTTGGTAAAATGGCTCTGCATCAGCCAAGTGTGGAAAGGGCTTTGATAACCTTCAAGGTGAAACACTTGTCAGCTCTCACTTTATCCAGGAACGGATTATCTGGGCTGTGGAATAATGAGGTCATGTCTTTCCTCCACGCCGCTGGCAAGAGCTTCAAATTTCACACAGGGGCAGCTGCTTACATCGAGCCTGCCCTGCTTAATGCTGCTTAAAGCTACCCCCCTTCTCTGTCAGCGAGTTTTCCCCAAACTGAGGGTGTGAAATGTGTTCACACAGCCTTCTTTGCAGGACGTGTGAGGGGGTTTCGCGGTGCTTGGGTCGCTGCGTTATCCCAGAGTGGGTTGGGTTGGATGCAGGAGTGCAGGGTGCAAGAAGCAGCAGAGTGACTTGTGTGTGCTACTGCAGCAACAAACCCTGCCTGTGAGGGATGGAGAGGAGGATTTGGTGGGTGGCAGGTGAGTGTCCCATCCTCAGCTTGCTGCGCTGCCTCTGCTCTAAACCTGCAGCTTTAATGCAGAGCTGTTGCACTGAGAGTGGCCACGGACATGAAAGATCCCTAAAGCACACAAGTTGTGGGTGTTAAAGCCTATGGGTGCTTAAGTAGATTAGCAAACAAACAAATCCTTTAATATTCTGGAATGCTTCCTCACCACCTAAGTAGGGATTATTCCACCAAGCCTGCAAATTCTACCCTTCTACCTAGTGTGCAGTCTGCCTTGCAGATAACTGTGCTCTTTAATAAGCAGCTCTCTTAGGTTAAAAGGAAAATATGAAAGCATATTGAAAACTTCAAGAAGAGCACAAAAATGGCAGAGAGACCTGTTAAAAATGTTCAAGACCCCGTGAAAACTGAGGTTACTGCAGTGCTGGCAGTAGCACCCATAGGATGCTGCACCAGAAAGGTCCCTGCAACAGAAAATTGTTAGGTTTAAAATTTGTTTTACAGAGCTCTCCACCCTTTTTTTGTACAAATATGTGACATAGCTCAGCCACCACTTTCTTCCTAGCGCTGTAAATATCTTGGCTAAACTGTCAGCTTTCTATCTGAAACGTGTAGAAACAACCGGTTACCTCGGTCTGATTCCGCTTCCAGGCTTTCATCATCTGTAATTTTGGTAAAAAGCTGCTTTTGTTAATGTGTAATGCATCATAGTAACCGGTTACACTTTTACTACAAAAGGGTGTTTTATTTTCCCGAGGGATGAATAGTAATCAAGGATCAGCTGGTAGTGCCAAGTGCCCTGATAACACAATTGGCTGCATACAGCTTTGTTAGGCCCCTTCCTGCCCTTGCCGGGAAGACTTAAGAGAAGATGTTGGGAGAGCTGTTCTTTACCTACTTGGCTGTTGGGGAACTGAATTTTGGGATCACTTTGTCTGCCGGGTGAGAAGGTAAGAAGCGCCTGCTTTGAGCACGTGAGGCCCTTACTGATTAATGATGGTGAGGGGAGGCTGAGAGAGGAGAATAGAATAGAGAGCGTGCTTGAAAATAAACACGTGATTTAGGAAAATTACCCTGAAATTAATCGCTGACGGATTTTAATGTGGAGAGGTGAGGGGGCTGATGTAGTTGGAAGGAGACAGAAACTGAGGATTCTGATTCTAATCAGAGTAGGGGCTGATTTGTGTTATTTTGATGCTGATTTAGGTGAGCTGGAGGAGGGCTGCAGTGACCCTGGCCCTGTGGTAGGAAGTGTCTCCCTGCTAAGCACAGAGTGAAATCTGGCTTTGATCTCATTAACCCCATCAGCACTGGATTAGCAGATGTGTTTCTGGAGCTTGACTCTCAGACACTTGAGGTGTATAGAAAGTGGCAGAGATTACTTCAGTAGAAAAAGATAAGACATTGATTCTTCTCCTCTTGAATTTTTCCGAAAATTTACTACCTAGTAGAGGTATCAAGAGGGAAGAGGGGACTTGTTCCCCTTTTCTCAGTGAGAAGAGGATATGTTGGGAGAACAAAAATCTTAAGAAAAAGCAGGGAGGAAGAGAGATGAGTAGAAAGCATGTGTAGACAGTTTCCTCTTTTCTTCTAAGTCTGCTCATTGTTTATTTCTAAACTCCACAAGAAAAACAATGAGATGGAGAAGAAGGAAAACCCACAGCAACAATAACAGGAAGAGCATCTTGGAGATGGCTTTGCACAAAGGTGGGCTTTATGTCTTGCAGTCAGTTCTGTTAGAACTGGACTTAACCTGAATATTTTGGCAGTAGTCAATATCCTTAAGTGCCCTATAATTTTAAACTGGATTTATCCTATTGCATTGTCTTGGGAAGGAGGGACACAACCACAGAAGCTGAGCCCAAGCTGTGCAGATCACTTAGAGATTTCTGATTAAAGAACAGAATATAAAAGTAAAGTTCTGTGTTAGCTGTAAAATTCCACTGTTACATCAGTTAAAGATCCCCCTTCATGACCTTCATAGTGGTGTGTTTGAAAGGAAAATAATGGTGGTTTTGACTTGCTGAGACCCTCCAGTTGTAGCACACTTGCACTGTCTTATGTGAGGGCTGGAAACAAAACTCATATAATAGCCTCAGGTTTTTAATCTCTGCAAAACATAATTAACTGTTTGAAAGGGTGGTTGGAGGGTTAAGCTAGGAAGAATAGACTAGTAGTATAATAACATCTATATTAAAAATAATAAAAAAAAAACCCAACCAACCAACACAGATGTAACGTGTTATATAATCTCTCTTAAACTTGCTCTGGGAAACCCTCCAAGAGCCAGTGTCAGTCTCCATTTTGTGCAAGTCTGTACATAACCTCTATAAGAATTTGTGTGAAGTTGGGTGGGGAGACAGTGAAAGAAAAAGTCAGAACAGAATGCAGCCTGACCAAAGTCTTTGGGTGACGGCGCGCTCAGAGCAGGGACGGGGGGACGTTTGTTCCTTCGCGGGTCTTCCCACCAATCCACCCCCTGGGCACAGGTGGTTTCCAGAGCCTTGTCCCTGCAAATGAGCAGGGACATCTCACTCATCATCGAGCAGCAGTCTGAAAGGCTTCTAGGTGTATTAACCTCCTAAGTAATTACTGGTTTGGGATGTTGTGTTGAAAAATAGCCACCTTTCTGTCAACTGGGTGCTGCCATGCCTTGGGAACCATGCAGTGTGTTGTTCCTGGCCCTGTCAGCCACACAGACAATGCTTGTGTTTGTTGCTTACAGATACAGCAATTAATTTAATGACTACCAATAAATAATATATATAGTAATAATAATAATATATGGACCATACCACAGGGCTACTTGTTTTCCAGGAGCTTGGTCATGCCTGTGTTACCATAGGTGGTGGTCACATATCTCCCATCAGAGAATAACTTGGAGCAAAGTTTGAAGCATGTTGTTTGGATACAGGGGGAAAAGGTGCGGAAAGCAGAGGAATTATAGTAATATATCCTTTTGTGAAACGTGAGAAAAGCTTTTAACACATTTCTGACAAGAGACAAGTCCATCTGTATTGATCCATTCTTCCTGCTCAGGTCCTGTCAACCTCTGTTCAGTCCTTTCCGCTGTCCTCCTTCCCTTGAACTACTGTCATGACACCTTTGGAAGACATTTCTCTTAATTCAGGCGTTGTGATGCTGCTTCCTTCCCCATTCCCTGCCAGGAAGGATTGCTTTGCTCTGCACAGCTCAGCAGAGCAGCGAGTAGCGCTGAAAATATTGATGATGTGGAAGTGATTTGGAACATGGCACGTTTCCCCAAACAAACAAGTAATGCAGTAACATTCATAAGCTTTGGCTGAGGGTGTCCTGTCCGGGGAAGGCAGTGGGATATCCAGAGAAATGGGTAAGGAGATCAGGATTTGACTTGCCTGCTTCTATTTGCCTGAGGCCAGGCTTTCTCTGATAAAGATACGAATTTCTCCTCAGGGCAAACTAAACTGTGATAAAGTGTATTGCAGAAATTTACACTGTGTTTGGGTTTGCAAACAGTTCAGTTGGTCTCCAAGAAGTTGACTTTTCAGTGAGGCTGTGCCACTCATTTTGTATCACCGAGATTAAAAAGGCATTTAACCTTTGTGTAGTCCACAGCACTGGGAACTCCAGTGTCTTTATTTTTAGCCAGAGCTTGACTGAATATCATTGTGATTTCTCTTGAAATCAAGTGAAACACACTGAGAAAATATTTTTTCATTTTATTTTGTCTTAATTCAAAGCCCAAGTTTATAACAGAGCCAGCAGATGAGCCATCTTCTGTCTCAACTACCTTTAATAGCAACAGTAGAGCTAGTTCAGCTGTTCCCTAAGGAGTAAATTTGAAGTAAACAGTGAAAAATTCCACATTTAATACATCTCTCACATTTACTTTGCATCTCTGTAGGTACAAACCAGTATACGTAAGGGCATCCAAGTACCTAACAGCACAGGGAAAGATGGATATGACTTAGGAAATGCATACCTTGGAAGTTCTCAGCATGTCAGCTTGGTTTCCCTGGCATGGTTTTTCCTTTCAGCCTCCCTTTTCTTTGCCCAGGGAGGTTAGACAGTAGGAATTCTCCCTTCCTGCCTTAGAAAGAACTCTGTGATCAAATGATTCTTTCTGTGTCTTCCTAAAAAGTGCTGAGCACAGTGACTTTAAAGCAGTTGGCACCCTGGAAAATTAGGTCTACAGGAGCTAATGAGTCTGCAGGAGTGTTTGTAATTGATTCGAAGTTGTTGTTTTTTCATGTGGCATGTTTAAAAAATACAGCAAATGGTTTGGAAAGGTAGTTCTTGACACCAGTCCAGCTTCAAAAATGTTGTTTTCCATTTACTTCCCATGTTTCAAACTGTTTGTGTGTGATGAAATATGAGTAGTGCTACTTCTGTGCTCTTGCAGACTTGTGGTGAGAGATCTTTTCCATGTCTTTTCAACCATAAAAGAGAAAAAGCAAGGTGTGGTGTTGGTTTGTTTGGGGTTTTTTTCCCTGTACAATACCTTCAGCATAGACTCAGAGTATGGTAAAATACACTGAAAATTGTATCTTACTTGCATAAGGTTTAAATTTTCTGAAAATGGGGCATTTGGAGGAGAATTAGAAAAGTGGTGTCAGTTTGCTACCAGGACGGAGATGTGTTTAAGTTCTAACAGATTGATGTTTAGGTTTTGATAATTGCCCTCTACAGAGCTGAAATCCAGCCTGGTGATGACAGGTATTTCACTACTTTGAGAGGAATGGACATAAATAATAGCTGAGCAGTTGACCTCAATATCTGCTGAAGCTGAGGACGACCTTTTTTAAATACCCAGAGGTCTCTGTCTGGCCTTCCATGTAGAAAAGACTGGAACACACTGGGGAACTGTCATCAGGGATTTTTTTTTTTCTTTTATTTAATAAACAGGACGTGGAATTACTGCAGACACTGAATTCAGCCAGGCAATGATGTCCACAGTTCTAAGCTAAGATAAAAACGTGTTTTCCATTTTTCAGCTGGGCACAGTTGGCAATTTTATCTTTATTCAGAGGCTTTTTAGGTTGGATTATGCCAGTGTAAATCTACTTGAAGAGCAACAGTGCGGTCCCTCCCTTGTGAATGCTTCAGTATTGCAGCAATGCTCTGAGGAATGTCACCTTGCAGTAGCATCATTGCAGTGTTTTGGAAGGTTAGTGGGTTACTTTAGGGAGAAATTCCATTTTCTGCATAGATTTTCAAAACTAGTGAACTTGGGAAGCAATAGACACAGGATCCTAATTCGGCTTTGAGGTACTTTAAACAGGATACGTTTCAGCAGTAGGTGTGGCCTTTATACCTCGCAGTCCTTCGGCTTCTCAAGAACAACATTGAATTGATCGCAGAAAGAAACAAGAATCACAGGAGTGGTTTCAAAATAGAGGGTTATTGAGGGAATCTAAGAGAGGGGCCACCCCCCTCCCCAACACACATACACACACACACACAGAGTTTTTGGTGTCATAACCTCCCCGTGTTAAGTGTGTGTCTGTACACGTCCTCCTGGGTGAGAGCCAGCAGGAGAGGCAGCACAAACGTTCCCTATGGCTTGTGTGGAATTGGAGCAGCACAGCTACAGCCTCTCTCCCACCCCGATGGAAATGAGGGGGGTTTTCATCAGCAACGTGACAGTATGTGCATGGGCATGTGTGTGTTTTTATGTTCTCTGTTGTCAAAGGTTTTCACAGTTCTTGGTGGGAGAAATCTGGCCTTTTCAACCCAAAAGCTCTTGTGGGATAGTATTTTTTATGCTGTCTCCAAAATGAAGTCTCCTGACGTCATCAATCCCAAAGGAAACCAAGATGAACTTTGATTTCCCTTGAAGAAGAATACAGCCCCTGACACTGAATATTCCTTGGCAGGTAGTTGTTGTTATTATAGAGCACAATTTCAAGATGTGACTAGCAAGCTCTCCTGGAGTACAACAGACCACATCAAACATGCAAGGGGTGTCTTG